TTTCTATGGCTTGTTTAATCTCCTGGATATCTGTTTGAATCTGTTTTATGGATTCCATTTCTTTCCTATGTTGGGCGTTTATTTTTTCCATTTCTTTCTTATGCTGGGCCTTCATGGCTTCTATCATGGACCTGAGCTCATCTATTTTTTTGTCAGTTTCTGCTCTAGAGTCTCGAATCACAACTTCCATTTTGCTCACTATCTCTATGGTTATCTGGGAAATTATTTCTGTTTTGAATTTTTCTAGAGCCTGATTGATCTGTTTTGTTACTTCCTGTGCTTTGAGTTCAGGGTGTCCTGGTGGTTCACTATTGGCCTTTTCATCCTCATTTGTCCTACTGCTTGCCATTGGTGAACTGGAAGTCTGTCCTTGTGTCTTGCTTAAGTGTTTTCTCATTTTTATTTTTGTTGTTGGACTGTCCTTGGTTTAATCTCTGGATTATCACCCAAATCTTCCTGATATATTTTCACCCTAGCTTCTGTGTCTCTAACGACCCACAGACATTCTCATCTTCATAACATCAGAGAAACAGCTCATCAAATCATTCACAATGCTTTCTCCCAACTGATACAATCAGCAACACATTAAGATCAAACACAACTTGGACATTGACCACCTGTCGTAGTCACTAGTCTATCACCCTTAAATCATTTGAATTAAATTTAAATCAAGAAGCAGTCCAGAACATGTCTGCAGTGAACAAAACTTCAACATACTGTATTTACCATTTAATGGCTCAGACAGAGCGAGGATGCAAGACCCCTGGTCTCAGTTAGCTGATGGCTGAACCCCATGACGCTGACTGACCTCGGGCTGCAAGGTCCACATTGAGTTCCCCAACCTTCTGAATGGTTGAATTCCACAACGTTCTATTACAGGTTTCCCACGCCTTTTCTTTAAAGATGTTCAAAGTTGGGAACTCAGAAAAATACCCCTGATGACCACCTCTGCCTCTGCAGAGTGGGTCCAAAGACTAACACAGGAGATCTCAGAGTGTAGGGGGGCGACTTTTATGGGGGTTCAGGGGCGCTCATGCAGCTACCTTCCTGGTGCTTGAGGGATGGTGGCTGGGTCGGGAGCAGGCGTGGCTCTCCTTCCCCGCAGTGGATCGGGGCCCAGGCTGCCTCCCGGCGCTTGAGCGATGGCGGCTGGGCTCAATAGAGTTTTTAATCTCCTGGATATCTGTTTGAATCTGTTTTATGGATTCCATTTCTTTCCTCTGTTGGGCATTTCATTGCTTCCATTTCTTTCTTATGCTGAGTCTTCATGGCCACTATCATGGTCTTGAGCTCATCTATTTTTTTGTCAGTTTCTGTTCTAGAGTCTTGAATCATGACTTCCATTTTGCTCACCATCTCTATGGTTAACTGGGAAATTATTTCTGATTTGAATTTTTCTGGAGCCTGATTGATCTGTTTTGTTACCTCCTGTGCTATGGGTCCAGGGTGTCCTACTGGTTCACTATCAGACTTTTCATCCTCATTTGCCCTGTTAGCCATTGGTGAACTGGAAGTCTGTCTTTGTGTCTTGCTTAAGTGTTTTCTCATTTTTATTTCTGTTGTTGGGTTGTCCGTGGTTTAATTTCTGGGTTATTACTTAAATCTTCCTGATATAGTTGCATTTTAGCTTTTGAGTGTCTAATGACTCATAGACATCCTCATTTTCATATCAAACAACTCATTAAATCAATCACAATCCTTTATCCCAATTGATACATTCAGCAGCCCAATAGGATCAAGCACAGCTTGCAAATTGACCACTTGTGGTAATCATTAATCTATCACCTTTAAACCATGTGAATTCAATTAATATCAAGAAGCAGTCCAAAATATGTTTGCAGTGAATATGCTTTTCAATATAGCATGTTTACCATTTAGGATGGGGGGTTAGACTGAGTTAGGATGAGAGAAGTAGATAAGTGAAAGAATTGGAGAAGGTTTCAGGTGAAGCCAGTGGACGTAGACTGACCATACTATCTTTACAAAACTATTAACTTCAAAGGGGATAGACAGAGTGCAGGAATAAGGACAAGAATATATCCCCTTAACAGTAACAGGGGCTCACCTTCCCTTGAAGCTACAAAGCCATGAGTGAGGTAAAATGAGAGGAGAAAAGAACATAAAGAAAAAAAGAAAAAATAATAAAAGAAGAAGTCTGAGTTAGGGCCGGAGCAGGAATAAAAAGGGAGATGAGGGATAAAATGGTGGAGCAAGAGACTGAGTTGGAGAGAGAGGACAGAAAAAAGAAAGAAATTTTAGGGTTTAATGAGGAAAAGAAAAAAATAGAATTTGAAGGACCTCTTTCAGACTATGTCTCTGTTGTCATATTATACTACGTGTACAGTCATGTGCAGAACCAAATCCCCTGATCTCAGCTAGCCAATGGCAGGTCCCAGTGACTCAGACTGACCTCAGTCCACAAGGCCTAAATTGAGTCTCCCAACCTGCAGGATTGAACTCCATTCAGTTCTATTACAGGTTTCCCCTGCCCTTTCTTTACACATGTTCAAAGTTGGGAGCTCATAAAAATACCCTTCATGACCACCTATGCCTCTTCTGAGTGGGTCCAAGGACTGGCCCAATCAGGAGGTTTGAGAGCAGGGTGTGGGGGGAGCATGTCGTGGGGGTGTTTCAAGCTTGCCTGTGCAGGTACCTTCCTGACTGGATCTGGTGGTGCGCAGTTGGGGAGGTCCAAGATGTAGTTTTTCTATAAAATGGAATGCTACTCAGCCATAAAGAATGAGAAATTACTCATTCATAGGAAAATGGATATATATTGAGGATATACTCCTAAGTGAAATAAATAAGTCACACATGTGTAAATACTGAATAGTTTCTCTGGTGTGAATAAACTATAATGGTACATAAGATCCTAATGAGATAAGTGACATTGTGAAATGGGTAGGAAAGGACTAAAGGTGTAGGGAAAGTGGGAAGGGTAGGGGAAAGGTAATAAGGGAAAAATATGAGAGAATGAAAAAATGGAAATAAAGTGTTTGTAAATGGGGAGGGGAGGAGGGGGTGAAGGGAGGGCAGGGACAAGGGGAAAAAATGAGAACCAAGATCACCTGTCATGTAAAGGTACAAAATCTCAATAATGAATGTAACTGTACTGTATACCTAAAATGTACCAATAAACTCAATAAAAGAAAGAAAGAAAGAAAAAAGAAATGGTTATTTCTAAGGAGTTTAAATAGGAAGAGAGTGAATTGGGGCCCAATGGATGCATTTTCTCTTCCTGTGCTACTTTCTGTGTTAGTTTCCTGTTACTGTAACAAAATAGAGATAGGAAACTACAGAGAAATATGCTTAGCTTACAGTTTTGTAGGCTGGAGGTCCACAGAACATAGCAGGGTCTGGTGAGGGACCCACTGGCTGCTCAAGGTGGTGAAAGCCAGTGCCCCCCCCTTCCTTGGAAAGCCACCAGGCTTCCATCATGGACCTCCTAATGACCTGATCTAATCACTCCCCAAGGGCTCTACCTGTAAGTACCACAATCAAATTACGAGTCTACTCTCTAAATGTGGCTTAAACTCCTCCATAAATTGGGAATGTGGGTAAGCAAGCCACAGCACTTTGTATCCTGGGAAACACCTTTTTCCATATCCATGTCGTTCCTTTTTAAAATAAAAATAAATATGTCAGCCACATGTGGTGGTACACTCCTGTGCTCCCAGCATTTACACAGGTGAATACAGGAGGTTCTCAAATTCAATTTATCAAGAACTTGCCTGAAAATTTAAAAACCATTCTCTTAAAGAGCTAAGGATGTAGAGTAGTAGGGTTTTGATCACAGTACTGCAAAAATAAACAAAAAACCCCAAATAAACAAGTGAATATTTATTCATAATAAATATTTCTAAAGGAAGTGTGTTACGCATGCACTTGGGTTGAATAATAAAACCCACTGAGGGACCAGGTCAGTTTGGATCCCAGATATCTCTGCATCCTAGTGTTCCTGCTACCACGGTCCAGTATGTGGCGGGGTCACAGGGTCACCCACGCAGCCAAATACATTAGGGAAAAAAATCTCCATCCCACCTGGAACTAATCTTGGCTCTCTTCTGAGCCCCTAATACATGTTAGGAGGACAAAGGAAACTTTCAGCTCTGTCTGCCTAAAATCTAGCCTCATTCAGTAAGGTAAAATTCTTTTAGCTAGTGCTCAATCTCTCTGGAGTAGACACCAGAGTCTCCTGTAGCTGTCCATCCCTCTGCCTTCTGCTACATGGCTTTATAGGGCCTGGGGCAAAGGGTGAGAGGAAGGCTAGGGCTTGGGTCTCTGGCGATGTTCCTTCCTTGCCCTGTGCTGTCTGTCCTGCTGGAATCTGTGAGTGATTTCCTGTTCCTATACAGCTCACCCTCTGCTCTCCTGGCCTATTGATGGATTGATTGATTGATACTGGGAATTGAACATAGAGCCATTGCACTGGACTGCATCCCCAGTCCTCCTATTTTTTTTTTTTTTATTTGAAACATGCTGAGATGTTTTGGGCCACACTAGTGGGAAAAAGGGACCATACCCCAGGTTGGGCTTGAATTCGGGATCCTCCTGCCTCAGCACCCCTCAGAGCGCTGGATTGTAGGTGTGCACTACCACTCCCTGCTCTGGCCTTAACCTTACTCACCTGGAGCCCCTGCCCCCACCTCACCCTGTGGCCTATGGGGAAGGGTCATGGTAGCAGGCTCTAGCCCCTGTTCTCAGCACTAGGAACTGCCCTGCTTTCCCTCTGCAGGACAGTCATAGAGCTCCATCCTCATAAGAGCACCCTGGACTTGGGCCTGGAGCTCTCCATGTCCTCTCACCCCACGGGAGGACCTTGTGACAGTCTCTCCTCCTGAGGACACAGCCTGACGCAGCATATGTGTAAGCTTATGTGTGTCCCTGTGCTGTTTGTCTGGGTCGGGATTATTATTATTATTTTTATTATTATTATTATTATTATTATTGTTGTTGTTGTTTTTGTATGAGGGATCAAACTCAGGCTCTTATGCTTGCAAGACAGGAGGCAAAACCACTGAACTAAATTCCTGGCTTGGGATTCTTTTTTTGTTTGTTTCTGGTCAGGGATTCTAGTGCGACTTATGGAGGGGGCTTTTAGGAGCAGGGAAATAGGAGAGAGAGGGGAGAGAGTGCTCAAGGAGGTGACATGTGCTGACCTCCAGCCTCCTGCCATAGTGCCTGGGGCATGACTTGACCATGGTGCTAGCTCTCTGGGGGACCATGGGCTTTAGCATCAGGCTGTCGGTGGCTATGGGTGTCTTTACAGGGGGTGATACAAAACACCATGAATGCTGCTGCCTGGCACCATCCAACAGAAGGGAAGGCTTATAAAAATATGATGCTGTGTCCTCATCCACCTTACTCACCAGATCTGACACTGTGTGACTTCTGGCTATTTCCCTTAGTCAAAATGACCATGGAAGGGAAACGTGTTTTTTTTTTTTTTTTTTTTTTTTCTCAGTGAGTTTATTGGTACATTCTAGGTATACAGCACAGTTACATTCATTACTGGGATCGTGTACCTGTACATGACAGGTCTTGGTTCTCATTTTCTCCTCTTGTCCCCGCCCGCCCTTCACCCCCAAGGAAACGTTTTGAATCGATTCAGAGCATCGAGGTTGCCAGGACAGCACAGCTAAAGGCATGAAAGAGGACGCTAGAGCTGCTTCAGCAAGAGGCAAGAATGGTGAGCTAGATGTGTTGGGGAGGATTTTGAGGAGGATTCACTACTGTGTGTCTTGTACTTCAATACATTTAAAATATTTAAACATTCACCGTTTGCTTTCATCACAGCTTCAGGGCAGTGGCTTCAGAGCAGCTTGATCCCCAGTGAGAGGTAAGAAGGGGACAGATGAGAGTCTGTAACTTCCCCTGGAGCCGAACCCTGCCCCGGGGCCCTTTGGAGACATCTCTGTCCCGCACCCACGGTGAGATGGTGTAGGTCCATCTCTCCACAATCCCCCCTTCGCTTGTGTTCGCTTCCTCCCTCCAGAGAGCGATCCTAGCTAGCAGTGGCGGCAGCCGCCTTTAACTCCGAGAAAATCATTCCTTATCAGAGCAGCAGTCACACGCTTGGGACAGCAGAAAGGCATTTCACAAACTATTGATCTGAGAATTAATATATTGCTTTTTTTCCCAGATGCCGCACCTCAATGCCATTGTATATATTAACACCCCCCAAAATAGCATCAGGAGCAAGACACAACCTTCCCGGCCTTTAATTATGTTTTCTGTACTTCATACTTTCATGGTGCTATTGCTTGCTTTCTGCCCTTGAAAGCTCATGCTTCTTCATTTCAGATCATTTCCCCAGCATCTCCCTGTGCAGAGATGATCCCAGAAAGACGGCCTCCTCTCCAGGGATAAAAGACAACCCACTGAACGGTCCGTTTACTTTCCTGCATGCAGAACACCTTAAATAACCCTCAATTCAATTTTTTTGTTTCCGTTTTTTAAATTCTTGCAGAAAGCCTGGCTTCCATCCAGGAGGAAAATGTTCCCATCTGCAGCCTGGCAGTAGACATTCCACACTTCCCAAGAGTTTGAGTTATGAGCTACGACACAGCCGTCTATACATCTCCTGGGAAGGATACCTCGAAATTCTCCCCACTGCAGTACAGGCAGCTGTTCTGGTCGGAGCCACTTAGGTCTATTTTTTACCCACAGAGGTGCCATTTTTCCCACAATGCAGATGAGAGGAAGCATAGAATCGTCCCACTTCCTTCTGGCTGCTGTGCCCTGTCCATGTGCCTTTCCAGGGGGATGGATAGATGACAGTCCCTGACACTTCACCATCATTTCCTCCCTCGGTTAATCAACATTAAGGTAATTGTCACATCCCATCCATTGCAGTGTGTTGTGTATGCTTGTGGCCCCACATAAATAATGAATAATCACGTAATGACCAGAGATTCGTGCAAGCTGTCAGGGAGAGCGCATAACGGATGCTTTGTTTGTCTTCAGGGACTGGATTACCAGCTTGTAACTGATTAGGCTTTAAAATGCTCGGGGTCACCTGTGGCCTGAAAGGTTCTCCATCAAATCTCAGTCTGGTGCTCTCCACACGGGACTTCAGGAGGCCCTGATATTTGCTTTTGGTTCCCCTGTCTGAAAGCGGAAGGTATTGCACCCCGCTAATCCATCACCATGCCTGCCAGTTGATTTCCCCCTCCCTTGGCTTTCAGAGGAAGCAAGTGGGAACACCCAGGCGGTGGAAACAGCACTGAGTTATGTCTGTTTTTAGCACATAGTGCTTGAGGACGCAAGTCAGGGCTCATTAAAAATACGAATGCTGGAGCTTACAGAATTGGCCACTTTAAACACAGCCATCTACACCCCAGTGGTTCTCAAACTGTTTTATAGTAATCTGGGTTTTTATGAGGCATCACTCAGTATTTGTGTGCATGATGCACACCAGTGTATTTCCCTAAGGCCGAGCTAGGCCCAGTATTCAGGAGATCACTGCAGCCAGCCGAGAAGCGTGTGCTCCATGATTAACGTAAGAAACACCTGTGACTTTGTCAACGTTGACACCGATGTGTGACAGCTATATTTCGACTATTTAGAAGGATTATATGCATTTCTGAGCATGTGCATATTTATACTCTTCAGTGTAAGACTTAGAATATTTTACATCATGTAAAATCAAGTGCAACTTTGTCTAACTTAACCATGTGTAGAATGTTGGGATATGGGCATGTTTCTGACCTTTGATTTTCTCTGTCAAGACTTGTGTGTTGGCTGGGCATGGTGGCACATACATGTAGGCTGAGGCGGGAGGATTGACAGTTCAATTTCAACTTGGGCTTTTTAGCAACTTAGTGAGATCCTGTCACAAAAAGTATATAAAGGGCTGGAGACATAGCTCAATGTGGGGTGCTGAGTTCAGTGCCTTGAATCACCAAATAGATGATGTTTGTGCTAAAATGACTGAGCTCAGTGCATCAGGACAGCAACTACCCATAAGGGGTTAGCTGGGAGAGCAAGTACTGGGAAGAGAAATTACAGGAGGACGTCAGGGATCTTTGGAGAAAGAACAGGATGATTGGAAATGAGAGGAAGAAATGAATCACTCTCATCAGACAGAATTATCAGTAAGGGGCCATCACATTCAGCACAAGTATAGGGCTGAGAGACCAATGCTTTGAATAATTACATTGTATACGCTGAGATGTAAAGTCTTCCTTTGACATCTAAGGTTCCTGCCCTGAATACCACCAACAGGATGTACATTCAGAGGAAACGCAAAACACTAACAGCCAATTGGCCAGACACTTTTGCATAGACACACACATTGCTTTTCAGCCCTGGCAGTGTAGACACTAAATTACAATGTGGAAATGGCCCAAATAATTCCAAAGTACTTGACTAGAGAAATGAAATATACCAATATCTTACTAATAACTCTTCAGATGCCCTGGGCCTGCATGTATCACTCTGGGTAAGGCTGCTTTCATAAAAGCACGGTGCTCCGGCTCTCCAAGACATGGCCCACTCCTATTGATTTTTGTCTATTGATTCCATATCCTTGATCTTGCTGAACACATTTATTACTTTCAATAGTTTTTAGTGGGTTCCTTGAGGTTTTTCTACAAAAGCATGTCACCTGAGAATAGGAATGATTTTACTTCTTTTCCAATCAGAACGCCTTTTATTTATTTTTTCTTGCCTAATTGTCTTGGCTAGAACCTCCAGGAGAAGTGGACAACATTGCTGTGTTGCCATGGATACAAGGGTGTGTGGTTGGGTCAGTGTGGGTTGGGGGAAGACTGTAGAACTGGGAGTCTGAGGAATCTCCCATGTAGAATACACTGATGATTAAAGTTCAAGTAATAAAAGAATGTGTTAATTGGAGACTCAGGTATAGAGTTTCTGGGAGTCAAAGCCAGGTCTACCTGGGGAGTTTCAAGCACTGCCTGCTGTCTCCCGGGGAGATTCCCTTGTCTCTTGGTGTGGCCTCTCCTTCCCCCTATGGTCCTGTCATCCTGTGCTCCGAGGATGCCTTCAGCCTTGTCACCTGCACTGCGGGGGCTGAAGCTTCCCTGCATTCTGAGTCAGCCCCTCTTGTAATGTGAGGGTAGTGCGTAAAAAGACTACCAGAAAACAGAGGTCAATCTGTGAATACAACAACAAACCCCAGGAAAGAGGCACTGTTTGAAGTGTTGACTGAGTGTTGCTCTGGGACTCCGGTTCCCCTTCTAGCCCTTAGAATCCTGCCCATAAGTTTTATTTTCTGCTTTTGACTAAGGACAAGAAGAAGAGTTGAAGTTATCCAGAAAGTGAAACCAGGCCACGATGAAGTGGGAGCATCACAGTTGAAAGTCACCACCACTGGGTTTCCCTCCTAACGGGGGACTGGCACTTGGGGCCAGAGGCCACATCTATAAAGAATCCCAACTTCCCTCCATGGTTCAGGCTACCTAACGGCTCTGCATAAATATTTTGCCAAGAGCCAACAAATTAGTGACTCACAGGACCCTTGAAAGCTTTGTAAGCAGAGAAGAAACTAAAAGGAAAACCCAATTTGTTTGGCTCAGAATTATTGGGATCAAGCTGGATGTGGCTTTTCTTTGTTTACTCATTTATTTCAAAAAATAAATTTAGGGAAAGCAGACCACTAAGGATAAAAGGTGACCCTGAAACTCTTTGAGAAACAAGTAAAAAGGCAGTGAAA